ATTATATAAAAAACATGTTCACGTCATTTTCTGAAATTATGTTTTACAGATAAAGTCTCTGTAGAACAACAATCAATCTGTCATCACCCTGTCAATCACGTAAAACATGGTGACTGTCAGTTAAAAAGATGTCTATTGTTTGTTTTAAAAATACATTTCTTCTTATTTTAAACTTAAAGTGAATAATATTTGTTTCAAATCAGATTAATTATACTTTAAATTAGGTAATATTCCTCAAAGAGTTTCAAAAAAGTATAATTTATTTTTGGAAGATTTTTAATACAGAGCAATATACTAAAAAAGGGCTCTAAGCAGTTATTTTAGAAAAAAAAAATCAATTCCAATCATAATTTCTGTTTGAAATACATCAGAGTATTTTGCTTATTGGAAATAGTAAATTTAATCCTTTAGCTTTCAATTAAAGTTAAAAAAGAAAGCTTTTTCATTTTTAAAAATTCATTTTAAACTTTCAGTATCACAGATTAGTAGAGATCCCTATGTAAAAAAAATATGATCATTTGAAAATAAAGATTGACTTTTCCATCAATTTCTATTTTCTGTAGATTTAACAAAATTCTTAATTTCCAAACAAATTTTGAGTTTTTGGAGATATAGTCTTTCAAATATAAGAGTAACAATAACTAGAAGCAACATGTCAGCTGTCAATTTCTTTAATTCATTTTATTTTGTTGCCATTTGTCATAGTTTACCATCTGTAAAGGAAATACTGTATTTATGAAAAACTCTTTTGTGGCTTCTTGCTTTTCAATGAACTTTGATCTTCAAAAGTTTAAATGCAATTTCAATTGTCTCCTTAATTTAAATGCAATTTCAATTTTTTCCTTTAAATGCAATTCCAATTGTTTCCTTAAATTCTTTTCCCTTTTAAATGGAATTTCAATTGTTTCCTTTAAATGCAATTTCAATTATCTCCTTAATTCCCATTCTTTTATTGACCTTAATGTTTTTCTTTTTCTCAGGTTCTTTCACATTCAGAAGCTTGTGTGCCACTAGGCTTTATTGTCTTGCTTAGTGTGAAATGATTAAAAAAAACATCCTATTCTATAACACATACCTATAATTTGGCAAGGAATATTTAGGAAAAAAATGAATATTAAACTTTTGATTTGTGCATACTTGTACATTTTTTTAAAATTTGAACATTATTCTGTTTTGCTATCATATATATTAAATTCAGGGGCAATCTAGGAACTAGTGTGTCAAACTGGAGTGTTTAGATGTTAGTCTAATTCATATAATCTAACCATCAGGATATATGATGCAGGGCCAATTTTGGAGAAGTCTGTTTTACAAAAATAGTATACTTTATATGGTAGGATATACAGTATTTATTATTAATTGATGTATCATCATAATTTAACAAAATCATGAAAATTGTACTTAATTACAATAAAATATAAAGGTATATTTTTCTTGTCTGTTAGTGAGGTTAAAATAAAAATGTTTAAAGTACTATTTTAAAAAGTTCATGACCAGTAGAGATTCTTTTTGTAAAAGGTTATGCAGTGAAATTCTTTAGAAAATAAACATATTTCATGTTGTCAAATTAAAAAAAAAAGTTTTGAAACAGAGATTGAAAATGACATGCTTTTGGTATTAAAAAGACCAAAAACATCTATGTTAATATATATGATATACCAAAAGATATTGAGATAGATTTTGTATTAAGACATGAATAAATCTGTCAACAACATTCTTCTTTTTGTATTCATATTTGTATAGTGTCAATCCTCTCTGGGTACTGAAACTTGTAGATGTATAGAATAAATGTTGGAAAAATGTACTGTCTAATTTTATATAAAATATTAGAAAGAAAACAAGAAACAAAGGAATTTCATTATATCCTTTTTGTAATCATTTATGTTTATCTGTTAGTCTCTTTTGCATTTCCCTGTGATAAAAGAAAAAAGATTAACAAAGTTTGTTTTTTTTTTTTTAATTTAAAAGTAATTAACACTTGGTTATCTTCATTACTAAGTATTATTATATCAGTACTTCTCGCTAATGAAAATATCTAATGAAACTAGGTGATCTTATTCATTGGGCAGAAAATAAGTATTCAATACACACTGTTGGGACCAGTTTACTGCATTGGTAACTTCAACATGAGTTTGTTTTACATTTTCTAAATTTTCAAAATAATGCTTATTTCTCAATAATTATACTTAACTGAATTAAATGAATAAATTAGTTGAAACAAATTTAGGAAAAAGTAAATAAAATCTTCATAGTAAATTATTTTGTAAAATAAAGAGTAGAAATTTGTTGCTAATGATCATTTTATAAATTTACTAAAATGTGCTTAAAATCCAAACTAGTGGCAAAATTTTTCAGTTCTAATGACTCCTATAACTTAACTACTTGAAGCTAAACATTTATTCCTAAGGTTTATCAGATTTGTAAATCTCTAAAATGTTCATGAAAATATAAGGATATGTAAGTTTGTCTGCCAAAATAAATAGATATTATTTTGCAATTTCAGTGAGCAATTGAATGCCAACTTTTGTTAAAAGAAATTTTCTAATTCTTTTATATTGGAAGTCAGTCAGTAAAGGACATATCAATATTACCCCAAACGACCATATAAGCAAAGAGTTTGTCTTGTGTAGCAACTCCAGAGCAAAGCTAAACAAAGGATAAAATAAATAAATACATAAATAATTATAAGAAAAGGAAAGAAAATTTCATTTTTATATTAATCCATCTCTGCCTTAAACTTTAACAATGATTGCAAAAATGGCAACTTGAATGACACAATACAATGTTTTCCTTTCTGAAAATATTATAAATTAAAAAGCTGAACAACATGTATTCAAGTATAGACAAATCAATAAATGTTTAAAGAAGCTGAAGCCAAAATGTAGATAAAATACAAGACAGTATATTTAAAGTCTACTTATCTACGTATATGTACATATCTGTAAGTACCCATTTTATGCACACCTTACGCACACTCAAAGATGAATGAACCATATGAAACTATTCTTTCTTAGAAATGTAAGAAGCTGTTGTCCTTGAAGAATTGTATTTTATGACAAGAAGTTGTAGGATAAAAGGAAAGAAACATTGTCAATAAAAGAAGAAAAAACAACAGAAGGTGGTAGGGTTATGCCTTACTATATGGCAACAATGTCGAAGGTAGTTAAAAAAAAGTTTGAAAGAGAGAAGAGAAGAAGCTGTAAAAATAAATAAATATATAAATAAATTAGCAAGAGTATCATAAAGTGGAACTTGAAGCAAGAAACCAAATTAAAAAAATGAAAAAAAACTATATATATATATATATATATATATATATATATATATATATATATATATATACACACACACATACAACACTTGGGATGGGAAATTACTGGGAGTGGAGCTCATTTTTAAAAAATATAGTTTATTACAAATTATCAAAGAATACTTCTCCAATAAAGGCTTATTGACCATAACATGAAATAAATTTGAAAATGGTTGGAGAATTAATAATACTACTATAACTGAAAATTACTTTATCAGTGTATGAGTAATATATATATATATATATATATATATATATATAAATTCGCTTGAGGATGAAATGGAACTAATGTCTTTAATTTAATCACAAAATTAAATTTGTGGCTTTTAGCTTCCATTTTTGAAACATGGTTAGAACTGTGTAGTGAAAAAAAAACATATTTTAAATCAATTAATTTTATATCAGTAGGAGTAGCCATTTTCTGTTCTATCGTCTACTTCAGAAAGAACTTGAGAATAAATGGTTTCCTGTAGAGATTATTTGAGTTTATGAGAAGAAACTTTTTTTTTTTAAATCAATTCATACCAAGCAAGGTGACAATGCCACTAAGAGGCAAAGAGCTACTAGGAGTGAAAGAAAATGAAAAGATTTTAGAAGGTATTGATAATACAATGCTAAACAAGGTATGACCCTATATTCTTGTTCAAAAGAACAGGGAATTTTGGTTTGTTTTGTTTTACAGCATATCAACCTCAAAGGGTTATTTAATACTGATAAGATTTTTATTGCTGGTAATTTTTTTTTTCAAAAATGTATAGCTGGTAATAATTTTTTTACAAAATATTTATGGTATTAAAACCTATTTTTTACACTTTCATAGTGTTTTGACCACAGTTTGGGGGTTAACTATTTACCCATAACTAGGACCCTAACAGGTGCTACCACCCCCGGTCACAGTGGACCTGAGAACACCAGCAATTAAGAAGTGGTTCCATGCTCCTCAACTTCCTGATCAGAGGCTTTGCTGTTGGACATAGTTTATCGTCTTACCCAGGCTGTGGATGTAGTTTATCATCATACCCAGGATGGAGAACAGGGAGGAGTGTGAATTGAACAATATATAAGCCTAATCATTTCTATTGAAGAGAAAAAAAAGAAAAAAAAAAGAAAGAAATATTTTGGGAAAAAAAATTCAGAGTTTATATAGAGTTGGAGTAAACTTTAGAAGGAACCTAAACAGGAAACAAAGGATAAACCTCTACTCCTGTTCAAAAGATTGGAGTTGAACTCAAATACATGTAAAGGGATTAATTTCTGAAATCAGTTTAAACAGTATAATAAATACTCAGATTTATTATTTATACTTGATTTTTGTTTTATTGATATCATATTTTGTTACCCAAATAGTTGTCTAACACTGCATAAACTACAAAAAAAAATTGAAATTACTTAAAGCAAAAGCATGTTCACAAGCACAATCACCATTATATAATAAATAGTAAAACTGGCTACTAAATTATATTTTTAGAGGTAGGATGAGGTATTTTACAAGAACACAAACTAATTTATTGTATTGTGCAAATTCTAAATAGGTATCATAAATTGACAAAGAAAGAAAAAAAAAAGAAGAAAAGCTAATAATTTTCTTAACAATGAAATAAGAAGTGAAATCCTAACTTGAAATCTCATCATATCAGCAAAATTCTTAAAGGGAAGAATAGAGATATATGATTTTATAACAGCAGCTTACCTGATTTCCATGGAAGTGGTCATTAGTGTTAACCATCGCTGGTTCATTTCTTCCAGCCGATGGTGAAGCTGAGTAGTATCCTGGGCAACCATGGTTCTTGCAAGTTGATTACCAGCACCTGTTAGTGATTCATAAGTATTTTGATGAGAATCTACTTCTGCCTGCAGATCCTGTAAAAAAAGAAATTTTAAAAAATTAAGTAATCTTCAATGACTGAAGAAAACAAACAAATGGACATGCAAGGAAAAAAGACTTGAAGTAAATAATTGTAAATGTTTGAATAGATGGTATCATGCCAGTAGAGAGTGTAGGGTTCAATGAAAAACAAATATTTTCCTCTAATAAACAAATTACATAAACCCAATTGCTGGCTTCACACACAGATGTCAACAATTTTGTGGTTATACATTGTTTCCAATACTGCTGAAACTCTAAGTGCTATCCAACTGTTTTCCCCTCATATTAATGTGTATATTTACTTCCAAGCAGATTTCTTCAAGACTACATCAAGGTAAATATGAAATGAGTGTTAAAATGATTCTCTGAGTAAATAAAATAAAATAATTCTAGTGGTTCTAAATTCCACAATTAAATGGATTTATTTCTTGTATCAGTAATTAAAAAAATAGAAATCTTAGCTGAGATATATGGCCTTATTTAACCATTTACAACTGCATCTGAAAAAGGCTGATAGAGTAAGTTGGAGTAATGGCATTCACCCATTCAGAAATTACAAATCATATTTAATTTTTTTTACTGTCATATTATATATATATATATATATATATATAGATTCATGTGCTTTGTTATTTGTAAATAACACTTAAGAATGCCTTTTAAATGTTATAAAGAATATATTTAATTTCTTTAAGTCATATTTTCCAACATATTTTTGACAAAATATATATATTTTGCAGAATGAATTGTGGAACTATTTTTTCTTTGTCAATAAACATGTGGTTCCTTAACTTATATATTCATGTTCAGGGTTTCTATATCATAGTGCGAGGGCCCCAACTGAACGGTGACTGATGGATCAATGAATATTTTATAATTTTATTTATTTATTGTAAAGTATATGTGAATCTAGCAACATGAGGTCATTTTAAAGCAGTGAGTCAGTATATATGATAGATAAATTGTTTCTATATAGAGAAAAACACAGCTTTAATGTTTATGGGTATCATTTCAGATTTCTCAGAAATCATGATGACAAGGTAGTGTTGCTTTACATTTATGTTGAATGGATAGGTCACACCTCTAATATTTTGTGAAATTTTTGGTAAAAAAGTGAGACTTATAGCATATATACTCATAGTATATATGCTATGTTGATATTATTTTGCTAATTTGTTATATGTTGATCTATATGAGTGCGAATTGCACTAAATTTTGACAAGTGACAATTCAACCTCTGAGAGTGTGATGCATATGTGGCCAATGCAAAAATTTGAAAGGACATAAGAATTTTTAAACAATATTTTTTACATAGTGTACATTTTTGAGGTGATGAATTATTTCTAAGAATTAGATTAGACATTTTGAATTTTTTATAATAAATGATAAATTTAAGGTAATTTGTTAGGATCAATAACTTTTATATACTGCAAGATTATAATTTTAATAACCTTTTCATTTTGTTTATAATTAGGATGCATCTAGCTCCAATAAAACAATTTAATGGAGTCTTTATTTTTGTTTATATCAAGTTGGTTGCTTATATTATTTTTTCTAAATTTCTTTAAAAGTAATAAGGCTATTTTATATTGCCCATGTGACTACCTTTATTTTCCATTACTTCTTGTCTTAATGACATTAGCTTCACTAGGTTTATACAATCAGTGGAATTCTTTCAAATCTATTTTGTTGGATGATCATCATTCTTAATCTTTTTATTTCAGTACATTTCCCAAATACTCAATTATATTTCAGTCTTGTGACATGTTAGACCAATCAAGCCATTTTAGCTTTTGCTTCTGCTCTGTTCTTCTGGCAGAGTATTTTGGATCACTGTCATCCTGAAAATATAACTTCTACCAAATGTTCGAGTGAAGGCAATATTTTTTCTTTCAATATATTGTAGTAACTTTGAGCATTCATGATTCTGTCAATAAAATGCAGCTCCCCGATATCATTGCAGCTTATATAATCCCAGACCATGACATTTCCCTCATCATACTTAACTGGTAATACCAGACACTTTTTCTTATGCACTTCACCATGACGACGCCAAACTCATTGAATGCAATCAGATATATATAGATTGTTCTTATCTCCTGCTAAAATGAATAGACCTTGGTGTCAGCTTGCATGGTCAACCTGGTTGCTTTTGTACACCTCCAACATTTTCATTTTATGATTTTGTACAACTTTGGCAACAGTGCTTTTAATCATCTGCAGCCTTACAGTTTATTTGTAGCCATTGTTGTTTGTGGAATGTTTCTTCAAATCAGAAGTTTTAGAGTTCTTTCCTATGTGAAGCCATTACTGAACTAAACATCCGTATACTGAAAAACTTGACTTTATAAGAACTATTTTTAAAATTGTTTCCTTTATTGAATTCCTTTATTAGGAAAGAATAATCTATTGTTTATTCATTTCTTAAAGTATTAATTTTATAAATTATACTTTAAAAATATACTTTCTATGTAAAAAATCTTTTTCATAGAGGTACATTTATTTTTGGATGGCAACATATAATTTTGGCAACAGAGTTTTACTGCTATAGAGTTTGTTCATAATACTTATTAATATTCATTTTGATTATGTCACCAAAAATAATAAAATCCTGCTATGACAGGTTTAGAAGAAAATTACCTTTCTATAAAAAAGTGGTAATACTGATTGGTAATACTGCATATAGTGCACATATAAGATATAATTACTCTGTTAATGAGATTTTTAATCTGAACAATAAATCTGTATTGTTGTATCATTTCTTTTTTAAGATATATTTCTTAAAATGATTAAATTCAATAGAACATAGGTAAAATAACAATTATGGTCTCATGACGAGTAATGACGTTAGATAAAAATTGCCATAAATATTACTAAATTTATTTCCATAATGCATCCAAATTAGATAGTCTGACAGTTTAGAATAGCTAATCTGATAAAGGTAGGCTTTGAAAGTGAGGAAAGTGCATTATTCAAGGAATGTTTCAGCTGGCTGTTTTCCTTGCTATTAAACATTTAACAGAGAAATAAATCGGCAGCTGAACAATTCCCTGATGCCAGTGGATATTAGATCCCAGGGGAGAGAACATTTCCTTGTGCTCATGTGGTTGGCTGGCAGTGCCACTTGGCAGGAACCAAAGCCTGCATGGTGAAGTTTCTCATTTTCAGTGTTAGTGCACACGGAGAAGACAGAGAAAGAAAAAAGAGAACAGTTTCCTGTAAGGACACACAAGTGACTTTGCCAAAATGAAATAGTTCTCTTTATGAGTATCATTCATGCTGTAAGAAGCAAATAAAAGAGGCCTGTTTGATGCAACTAACAGTAGGGAAAAGGAGAAATGACAGAAGATTAGCAATTGTGGCTAGGGAGGACAAAATTGGGGAAAAAAATCCCATTATTATAGATTTGTAAGGAGGCAAACATAAAGACAGAAGGTATCAGAATAAGGGAGGAAGTGTTGGAGGGAAAGAATGAACAAAGCAGATATAAAAGGAAGAATAAAACATGAGTCATCTGCTCTTTAAAGACAGCAGTTTGAAATATGAAACTTAAAAATTTATTGATATTAAAGACACTTCAAATTTGACAAAAGACAATTTGACATTATTTTGTTTTTTGCAAAGTAATTTTCACTTAGTCCATAATTACTTTAAAGATTTCATGAAAGTTTTGAATACAAATTTAATGTGATCACGAACATACAAAGTTAGTTTGAAACTTGATCCAATATTTTGTATAAATACCATAATCTCATATTTTGAATATGTTGTATGTAAATACAACAAAATTTAAATACTGATTTTACTAATATAAAATTATGACACAACATTATAATACTATGAAGATTGTTAGTATGTAGAAATTTATACTATAAACATGAAGCAGTTAAATATTACTTGTCCTGGCTAAAGTTTTATTTTTTTTTAAAGAGTATTTGAATTATGAAGTGCAAAATTTAAATAAATGAAATCAAGGTAATTTTAATTATTGTACCTTCTTTTGTTTCCTGAATTATTTCTATTTTTATATTGCAAATCACCTGAAACCAGGTGAAGAAAATATTTAAGTAAAAACAACAAAATCTAAGATAAGTCTGAATACATTTAATGAAAATATCCTGAAGTATTGAAGGAAACAAAAAAAAATTCTGAGTTTTTGTTTTTGTTAGAAAAAAATCTGTTTTTACAACAAATTAAAAAAACAACAGAGTTTACAATTAATTAACAATAAAATTAATTAAAAAGGAAAATATTGTAGGAAAATATCTTTAACAGTGCTATCTGATTATTGTATCATGTGCATTTTAAAAGTGTTTATCAGAAATTACATTTACAATTCATGAAGAAACAATCCAATATTTAATCATGTTAATAAAAATAATAAAAGTATATGAAATGTAAGATGAAGCAATACTTTTTATTTGTTTCTTTCCTTTAAGAAAATAAGCCTAAAGCTAAGAAATAGATAATTAAATCTTGATAATTTTCTTAATAATTCTTGTTCTAAATTTACATTACTACAATCAGAAAATCAAACTTGGAATCAATGATTAAATTCTTATAACCCTGTCCTTGTTGCTAGTATTTAGGATTTGGCTCAGTAGTAAAGTTATGTACTTTTGATAAAGAGGTCTGGTGTTCTTAATTGCCAAAAATTGAGATTCAGTAATACACATTCTCTTTAAAAATATCTAACTCAATAGAAATTTCATCTAAAAGGTTTATCAACAGATGCAAAAAAGAAAAGTCTGATTTCAAGACATGGTTACAAGAACTTTATTTCAGCTTTCAGTTAAGTACTTGCAAAAACTACAAGCTCAATATTTGGATATATATATATTAATAAGTAAATCAAAAATAAAAATAAAATTTAATTAACAATAGCATAAAAGTAAAACCAATTTATTTTCATTAA